CCAACTCCTATAAGCAACCTCCTTCATTTCATTCTGCATTGAAGGTTTTCACACATACCCAAGCGTCTAAAGTCAACATCAACAAGGTTGAGTGATGGACCTGATGTGTTTCTTGACCCTCTGCCTGGGAACTCATGGAGGACAAACAACACAAAAATATCCAGTTGACTGATTTTGAAACTGATATTGCACAATGGTAGCATATAGGCATAATTTTGCAGAGCAAAAGAGTATGGTATGGTAGAGTACAGTATGGTACAGTATGGTATGGTAGAGTACGGTATGGTAGATTATGGTCTGCTAGAGTATGATATGGTAGAGTATGGTATGGTAGAGTATTGTTGGTGCAGTGGTTAGTCCTGTTGCCTCACACCTCTGGCACTAGGATTCAAGTCTCCATCATGGCTCCGTGTGTGTGAAGTTTGCGTGTTCTCCCTATGTTACTGTGGGATTTCCTGCGGGTACTCCAGTTTCCCCCCACAGCCCAACACCATGCTGAGACTCATTGGAGTTACCAAACTGAGCATAGGTGTGCATGTGTGAGTGTGCCCTGTGATGGGTTGGTGCCCTATCCTTGGTTATTGACTGCCTTGTGCCCTGCGATGGGTTGGTGCCCCATCCTGGGTTGGGCTCTGGACCCCCTGCAACCCTGAATAGGATTAACAGTTACTGAAAGTGGATGGATGGAATAATATGGTTTCAAAGTAATACTCAAGGTAGCATGGCTGTTTTTTAAATATGAGATTGATCAAATATCAAGATACAGTGTTTTTTTCTTTGATCACACCGGGGGGGCTTAATTGGGTCTAAAAGGTGTATATTAAATGGACTGCATTTATATAGTGCTTTTTACCAAAGCACTTTACAATGTACGCCTCACATTCACCCATCCACACTCACATTCACACACCGGTGGCGAAGGCTGCCATGCAAGGTGCCAACCAGCTCACCGGGAGCAATTTGGGGTTCAGTGTCTTGCTCAAGGACACTTCGATGGGGTCAGGAGGACCCGGGGCTCAAACCTGCAACCCTCCGGTTGCTGAACGGTAGCACTACCTCCTGCACCACCATCGCCCCCATATTAAACAACTACAGGGATTCCCCTCATAGAGAAATGCTCAGATACAATTATTCATATTGCTGCTGACGTATAAGCTGCATGATTGCTTATGAATTACGTTTTTGCCGTACAGCTGGCTTAAGGCCAGGCCACCACGAGACGCTCCCATCTGACCAGCTTCTCAGAACAGGCAGGAAGATGACAAATAGCAGAAATCATTTTGCTTAGGGTCCCAAAAATGGTTGGGCCGGCCATGTAGTACAATGAAATATGAGTATTTGAGTCTTTTTTACTCTCAGTAATTTCATAACGTGCAATTAAAGATTTAAGGTGCCACACTGTGCCAGGGCTTGTGAATGATGGTCATGAGCAATCTCCTGTTTGCCCTTTTCTCAGAATGGATGAGAACTTCAGCATCATGCCCCATGGCGTGAACTTCCAAGATCCCATCTTCCCAGACACACCAGAGAACCACCGCATTTTCGCCAGTCTCTTCCAGTTTTCTAACTGTACTGCCGGCACCCAGGTTCACACCTATACCCCTGAGTGGGAGGCTCAGGAGGACAGCCGGGTAAGGTGCCCTCCAAAATTTCAATTATTATTAATGGCCACATTGTCTAACATGTAGGATTATTGCGTGAATTTGAAAGGCTGAACGTTAAGCTACAGTGAAAGTGGATTACGCACAGCCAAGCCCAGCATCTGCATCTGCATCTGCTTGGGGAATGCCCCAACCCAGCACTAATGCACTGCAAGAAAGCTTGCAGCGTTGAATCTTCTGGTGGGTTCATTTTCATTACTCAGTCTGCACCTGATGCATAAAGACATCTTCATTGCAAACATTCCAACAGTCATGTTTCAGTTCTCTCACCTTTAAATTAAGTTAATTGAACTTCCCGCTTAGCAGAATAATTGGGACTATTCCATCAATAATGGGATGCAGCTGACATAGGTTCAGCACCCAGTGGGTCCAAAGAGTTGGACAGGCAAGTTGTGTGGTCTTCATTCCCTGAGACCTGAATTTTCAATGGATGGCAGACCAGGAATGTAAAACATTTTCCCAGACAACATGTTCTCACAGTATACTGCCAATGGTTTCACCTTGGACAGGATTTGGGACAGATATATGTTATATAAGTTATATAAGTTTATAAGTTATAAGCTTTTTATTAATTATGGAATCAAAAATTCCTCATGGACATCATAAATATTCTGTAACTGCAAAGCACAGCTCATCAAACCAATGAACTTTCCCTGTTTTTTGGTTAGTTTCTGAGAATTAAGTTCACTCCCCCCCCCCCCCCCCATGTTTGGCTGGCTACTACAGTTCCTGCTGTTAGTCACTGTCCTCCTGGTGAATTTCAGGTGGTGACCTTGTTTCTGTGGATTTTTATCATATAATAAAATACTTAATTTTGTGACATAGCTTTTTTCAGTTTAAAAAAAAGATACAAATTTCTTCAGACATATGTTTATTTTTAAATCAATATAAAAATGCATTGCTTCACCAGTTCTCTTTTAAAAGCCTTGGAATTATATCAGCGTACCAAGTACAAGGTTCATTTTATGACAATCTTCACATTGGTATCGATGAATACATATTGACCATCTTCTCCAGGTGCATACGGCTCTCGCAAGGTTCTGTTTTCAATCATGTGTTGCACGGAACGAAAGCACTCTGTTGTGATGGCTGTTGTGATGACAGTCTTGTGCTTACAATTCATGTGACTGGACAGCTCTCCGTGTTTTACTCTGACAGCTGGACATCCTATAGCACTCGTGTTTTTCTGCTACACCTTAGCATCTCAGAAGATGTTAGTTTTCAGGGACCTGCACTGTCATTAGAACAAATGCTAACTGCATCTGGTCATCTGGTATTTCGAAAAATTATTGATTCAAGTTTTTGAAGTTTAGGGCTGGATCAAATCTGCGAGCTCTAATGACTGTGGACATTGAATTCCTGCAGCTTACTGTAATATCAACTCTAACATCAGCTCTAAAATTTCTAACACAACTTGTGTGAAACGATGTAATTTTCTAAAATTTTAACAGACTCAGAGTCATGTTGTCACGTACAGTCAAAAAGTAGTATCACAATCTATAGGTAAATATTTTTGTTCACATTTATGCTGTATTGATGCCCATCCCAGAACATTAACAAGAGCATCTGTGCAGCGCATAACTGAAAACTGAATAGGTGTACAATTCATTTAGAAAGATGTCTGCTGTCTGTATTATGACTGGTTTTATGTTAAAGGACTTATTTTCAACAAACACCACTTCTTGTTATGCTGTTGTTCTTTTGCTGTTTGTTGTTATAAATGGTCTTGATAAATCTTTCTTCAACAATTGACAGAATATAGACAAATATTCATGTGTACAACAATACCTTGAATCTATTTCCGATAAAGTTGTCTTCTTTGATGAATAAACCAGAAAACATTTTATTCCCCGAACCCCTGCATACATAACTTACATAATTGCTTATCAAAACAAAGGTAAATAGCTAAATAACACAGAAAATAAAAGCTAAAAATACCAAAGGAACATCCATCAAAAATAAAATGTTTTAATAATAAAATCTGTGGAGCAAAGCGATTTCACAGATGAGCCCTTAAGCCCAATTTCTTCAGTGACTGTCTGACCCTGAACTCTGATTTTCACTTGTATGTCGCTTTGGACAAAAGTGACGTCTAAATAAATAAATGTAAATCTCCAGTTTCACTAACCCTCTATATGGATTGAGGTTTGAATCCCATCGCTACTCCAAATGGTCAGATCTTTTATTACAACTAAGAAATTAAACTGTGTAACGTTTATTCAGTAAACAAATTCTATTGATGATGTTTCCCCCTTTCATTTTTTCATGGTATGTCCCCTACTACAGCTGTTGTGTTCAACAGTGCAGAAAGCCTTGTTTGAGGAAGAGGAGAAGGTGAGGACACTTTCACAAAAGGTGCGTTTCCTGGAAAAGACCAACAACCACCTGAGAGACAAGGTGAAAAACATGAAACGGTTGCTGCGGCAAAGCAAACGTGAGACTAAAGACCAGACGCACCACCTCAAGCAGATTCACGAGCCCCAGGTTGCAGACAATGGCCATCAACACCACCCCCAGCAGGAAACTACCCACAACCAAGACAAAACCCTCAAGAAGGTCCTCACTAAAAAGCTGAAGGACTAAGCTCACCTTTGAGATGGTCCTTTGTAAGGGACAAAGTTTGCTGTGTTGGAACAATGGAAGAATGTGCTGTTTATACCTAGCAACAAATTAGCAGGGGGAACAGAACTAGGAACAGGAACAGAAATGAGATCAGATTTGCCCATTTATTTTTGCTTGGCAGATAGTGAGAGGAACATCTTTAGAAGCAAGTCAAAGTAAGTTGGTTTTTTGAAGTATGGACACAAAGAGGTAGATAGGTACAGAATCTCAAACAGACATTCTCAAAATTCTGGGCAAAAACAGTGGTCATTGTCCTTCCCACTGTGTAATATTTCCAGATATTCATCTTTGTGTGCTGATATATTTAGAGATATTTGGTAGCCAACTGTGTAACTTTACATGTAAACTCTGTATCCTCTGCTTTAGAGCAAATGCCCTGATTTTACAGCTCTGTAGTACTACCAAAAATTATTTTAAACACATTTTTAAGAGCACTTTAGCTCAGACTGAAAGCAGTTTCCATCTGCTTTCTAAGCAAAGTCTATTCTCCATGCCTCATTTTGACACAGTGGTAATCTACAGCAGCCTTTATTAGACCTGTTGCATGCTGGGAATGCTGTAATCTGCCCACACCAATTTGCCTCGTCTCTGTTACCGGGAGCAACAGCCAAATCTCACCTGCCCCCCCCGCCCCCTCAACCTTTCTGGCTTGGCCCCATTAGCAGTCAGCAAACCGCTCTCATGTAATCAACGTGGCTGGAGTGTCAGCCATACAGCTTTTGTCAGCAGGGGGCTCCACCAGTCCCTCAGCTGGTCAGGTTTGTAGTGATGTCTAGGCCGCTGAGATGTACAGCTCCTATGGCTTCCGAGCAGAGCTACAAAGCGAGCCAGTGTCCCGACAGTGCAGCTCTCACCACTGAGGCCAGTGTCCTGACAGTGCAACTCTCACCACTGAGGCCACTGTCCCGACTGCAGCTCTCACCACTGAGGCCAGTGTCCCGACTGCAGCTCTCACCACTGAGGCCAGTGTCCCGACAG